GACAGGCGAGTGGTAAAGCATGAGAGATAAGACAAAGAAGTTTATCCTCCTATTACTAGGTTACTACCACTACAGACAGAAAAAAAAGTCATTCTAATCACGTCCTGTTTGTCTTTACGAGTTTATAGTCTTGTCTTGTCAAGTAGGAGGAAAAAAAGAGTAAATAAAACAAATTAATTGGGTGCTTCAGTACCAGAGATAATGGTTTTCCGAATTACTTAGGCAACATACTAGGTAAATTATATTGTATTACTAGTGCTTTTGAAACAAAGGAATTCATTACTCTTGTATGCTGTGTCACACAGCTCTCCTATAATGGTATAACTGCAAATTTTGAATAAAATTGCACACTATCAACAATATTATAAACAGAAATAAGACTGCATAATCGGTTGTTGTGAGCTCATAGATAGATTGAACAAACAAACAGTTTACTTGTATGTACCAAGCGCTTAACTTCTAATTGATTTATTTATTTTATTTTTTTAAATTTTCGGTTACATGGTTTCATGGTGAAGTCCACCTTGAAGTTAATCAAATTTGAACAAATCTAGCAAATTTTAAAAAAGGAAAGTCAATAAAACGTCATATGCAGTTAGCGGATCTCGTAAATTAATAGCGCCATATAAATATTTTAAACACTAACAAATGCATATATTTTACTGACACAGCTTATGACGGTTATAGCTGAACTGAATTCTAACCTTGATAAACAAATCGAAGTGCGTAGAGTATAAACCAAACCTGCGGATTTGTATTTAGAGATACATAGTCACAGGTTTTCAAGTATTTCTATAAATCCATCTATGCATACAAATGAAATAAACTTACCACCTATTATCTATGCACAGTTAAATCCACTAAATTATCCTGATCAATGTAAAGACTAGCCAGATACTATTGTGAATGGATCTGATAATTATTAATGGTTGATACTCGTAAAATACTTACAACTTTATTCTTTAATCATTGATTATTTATTCCTATCTTTTGATGAGATAAAGTTTCATCTCTTCTTTGTTTGTAGGGTTAATCAATTCCAATATTCGACCAGAATAGAACAGACAGGTCAACTTCTTGGCCTGTAACTTGAATAGCCTTTAAATACTGAAACGAATGAATGACACAGACTGTAATCTTACTGGGAGAGAAATTGAGTTTTTTTCAAGTTTTCACGCACCAACTTCTTTATGACAAGCTAAAATACTGATTTACACCCAGAACGAAGTACAATACGGGAAGTTTGTTCCAATCCAAAGATCACTTGTGTCGTATTGAGTGAGTATCCATATTCATCAACATTTCTTAGGTTGGAAATGCAGTTTTTCATTAGAATTTAGTGGATATCTTTGTGAATTGCCAGTTCCATTTATAAAACCTCAATGTATTTACCAACTGATGATCACCGTGAGTATTCGAATGATGACCAATATCTTTGGTGGCACAGCGGTTAGGACTCTTGTCGACCATGCACATGGTCCGGGGTTCCATCTCCCGCCAATGCACACCTGATATCAATGGTTGGCCTGCTAAATTTGGGCTACCGATATCACATGCTGAAAATTCCATACTTGTATTAAAAAAATACTTTGTGGAGTCAAGCTGTTCTTTTGATCCACCTATTCAGCGTATTATTAATGTCACTTATCAAGTAACTGAACCTGTTTATTGTACTACCGAACCAATCCGCATAAACATTGGCAATTCATTGAAACTATATGAAACTTATTGAAGCAATGTCGAAGTAATCTGCTAAACTGTGAACCCGGATGACACTTGAACATCTGAGCCAATCGCAATTTTTTTCAAAATGAGTGGGTATTTCATGAAATCACTATTGTTAGACATGACAAAAACTATCACAGAGATAGGTATTTTTTCTGACCCTCATTTAAGGAGTTCTCACAGATTGATTGTGCAGCAACGTAAAATAATGCGACCGCATGAGATGCTCAATTTTGGGATTTGTCCTCCCTACACTTCAAAATGTTAATAAAAGTGTTTTCTTGTTTCAGTAGATGTTATTTTGTTGGCGCATACGTTGGGAAAGTGATCATTTTCGTTACGGGATTTCATCATGAGCTGACATCGGTTAGATAACCACTGGAAAACCTGGGAGTACTTACTGGACAGCTGTTTTCTTTTCGGTTTACATCTCTCTTTTATTTCTCAGTGCTCAGATCTCTCTCTTCGTTATTTCATCGTTTTGTTCAACTCTTATTTTTAATTACGGCGTTCACTTAACACTCGAAGTCATAGGACAGATCTGTCCAATTGTTTGTCTTCCTGAAAGCTACTCGTCTTATTCATTACTTTTTGTGAATAGCATGGAGAAAAAAACGGTTACGACATCATACTTAACAGAATGTTGTTTCCACTTTAATCACCGATATCACAACTTAGACGTTTTGTGAATAAGTGTTCTACGTAACAGCATAATATTAGCTACAGATTTCAAACTTCGCGCCCTAAATACAATTGTACTGAATTCAAGAAGAAAACCAAGAAATTATTAGTTGTTGAAACTCTCTGTGGTGGATGATGGTCTATAAATCTACCACGATCAAGAGTGGATTTTATCTCATTCGTAATCTCCGTAGCATTGCGTTAAATATTGATTCGTAAACTCAGACTACCCCACTTATTCTCAACAAATACTAATTAATAAGGTTTTCAAAGCTACATATTGATTAATTAAGTTATCCAAGATAGTTTTGACAGTCGCAAGATGATGGAACTTTTGTGATAATATGAACTAAACAAGCTAATTACACACCATTTCTATACATGTACATAGATAAACACTTAAGGTTTTACTACCTATCTGATCATGTAAACAAACAGCTTACAATGTTAATACACAGTGAAGGAAGTCAGATTATCTTCAACAAAAAAACCCGTTGGAAGCTATCTAACATTTAACGACAAACCAACCTCACTAGCTAATGATGTTACCAAAGTAACAGTTAACAAGGATGAACAAACTTAATGAATTTGGAAACCTAAATAATCATATCCTACTTAGTAGGGAAGAGTGAACTGTTGTTCAAATACGTCATACTCATCATATCTAAAGAGTGTGGTGGAATTTTAGAGAGCAATATCTCCACCAAGGCTAATATGACCTTCAGTGATATCCCCTTGGGTATTCATTCAGTCACCATAAAGTGAAACAGTTCGACATGTACAACCGGTTGATGAATAATCGGAAACCAGCTATCAGGCGGCGTGCACACTTGACGAGATTATAACATGCCCAGAAACATCAATTTGCGCAAAGTTAGGATAATTAATAACTTCTATATATGCACGCATATTAGAGTCAAGTATAGCTGGAAGAGGTGTACATCCTTGGCTAGTTATAAGTCGCAACAAAACTAGAGATTTAAGTGTCACGTCAGGCAGTGTGTTGTATTAATTCGTGTAAGATGATACGTTAATTTGATATAAAACTATTATGTGAATAATTGAGATCGGGACATCAAGCGGTTAACATCATTGTGTTATATCAAATAAACTTATTTGATATGAAAGACGAGAAATGTTTAAGAAAGTATTTCAGGAAATCTACACCGAGTTGATGTTACTATTGTATCAAGAAACGAAAGTGATATTGGACAACTATAGGATATCTCTAGTATAATCATCTAAAGATGCAGATATATGAAATCAACCTAGTTTGCAAAACTAATAGTTATATTCCCATTCTTGTTACAGGGTTAATTCTAACTTCTCCTGTTAGCTTGGACAATTAATTATTGACGAAAAAAAGTGACTCCGTGGAAGCACCAACAGCTACTCTCTTTTATAGATAGTAGAAGTTATAATGGATATGTAAATCTAAACGAAGAGGTGCCAGTACACTTGCTGTGTAAAACTTATGGCCTAACAACAGAGAGTTTTTTACGCTGGTGTATGAACGCAAAGCATACCTGTGAAGACTAAGTAATTTCCATAGGAATTAGATGAGATAAACTTGAAGGTTTAAAACCTACAATCAAGTTAAAAACCGTAAATAGACAAACGGGTTTTGAGTAGTTGATACGTATAATTATTATTTGCATTCCTACTGGTTGTTAATAATCAGTAATATTCGTAACATTAAGGTCATCTTCACAAAGCCACTAATGATTGACGATGTAATAATAATAATCATAGTAACGAAAAGCACGCAAATCAAAACACAGGGTTAAATCGTTCAGAATAAGTATTTCTTCGTCCAAAACAAAACAAAAAAAAATGCAAACTTCTTGCAGCGTCAAAAAAAAGAACAAGGTAGAAACCAACATGTACATAGATTCATATAACATTAATTGTCAACTAGTAAAGTTTATAGGCTAAGTAACAGTTATTTTAATAATTATCTAGGTAGAAACACATGCCCATCACAGGTGAGAATATATATTGCCTAATTAAAGTAGCAAGAGTATTAATAATAACAGAGTAGAAAAAAAAGAGGAACCTACTCATCATTGAGATATAGAGTAGGTTAAGAAAAATACGCAGACATTCAATGTGAAACCACAAGAGAAAAAAAGGTGGTCTAAATGTTTCTAAAACATATGTCGGGGGGTGGGTGGAGAAGTGTAATTTCCGAACTACACAGTAAAGGATATATTTATAAAACAGAATAGTAGATTATATATTCACAGTTTATAGAGAAAAGAAACACACACACACAGACATTTTGGCACTTGTCAGGTAAATACAGCCTAGAAACATGAAATTTGCGTCTTAATTACAGTAAAATATACACAGTGATACCACCATATAAAAACTTGATAACACATAATAGAGTGAATTCAGTAATAAAAAAAAACCGGTTGTCAACCCGAGAATAGAACTTGAGCGTCACTTAGGGATGGATATACACACATGAAACGACAAACATATAATACAATACTCTTTTATATAAAAAGACTGGATTTCATAGTTGTTTTTTAATTAAATGCTACGGTATAGTATAATCGTCAGATATGACCATTAGTGCTGTGAAAAGTTTAGAGAATGTCTAAAGAAGATTGACTTTGAGAGTTTTCTTCACGTGGATTGGACAATAATGTCAGGCACTCCAAGATTGTAGGCGAAGACTCGAGATTTGCGAAGGCTAAATCGCAGAGAATATTCTCACAGGAACTCACGTAACTGAAGAAAAACAAAAGACGGTCAAGAGAAAAATACAAGCATATTTAAGGTGATAATAAAAAACCAGGTTTAGGCAACTTGAATAACATGAAAACACTTCTGGTGTATGTTGGCAGTGGGTGGTGGTTTCTGGACTAGCACACATGACACACACTAAAAGTAGACACTCTGTCATGTTTTACAGCTTATTTACTGGTACTATAGATACAATGAAACACAAGATTAGTATTGCCTTGTTGAGAGAAATCCAAAGACCATTAGCCTTTAAAACTTTGCTTAATAAGGAGTTGTGCAATGATAAAGAGAATAATAATACTTGGAAACTACCGCATCTTTTAAGATGACAACAGTTATTTATCCAAAAATGACAACGACAAATTGTTACTGTATACGGGAAGTTTTATCTCTCACTGTTACATGGATTTATCTAACTACAAGATAAGAAGACTGCTAGGAGTAAGTTACGTTTCAACAAAATACATTGTCACTATTCAAAATGAGGCAAAAATAAGTGGAATGGAGGTGTAATCAAAAGTTACTGCCATCTATCTAACAACGGCAACAACGTGTCTACAGAAGTAATATCAGAAGATTGCAACTCCTAGGAATAAAGTCAACCTTTAAAACAAATATAATATACTATAAACTTTTCTCGCATAGTAAATTCTACATTTTATTCCTTCACGTTCCCCAGTGGGACATAGGGCTTCAAGCTAGTGGCTTGAAGTTTCTGTAGCAGTGCTTATTTTACAGGATGGGGTCGCTAGTCTCATGCCCAACCTTTCCTCTTCACCAGCATTATTTCTGGCTTAGCGAGGTAAAGAAGTGCGTCGGCTGGGGATCGAACCCCGGACCATGTGCATGGTCGGCGAGCGTCCCAACCGTTATGCCACAGACGCGCTTTACATTATTAATTAATAAATAATCTGAATATAACATGCACTCAATTTACTTGTCATTGAGAAATGATATCAACGACAGCGGAAATAGAAGAGAAAGAAATTACAATCTGAAAAAATTCCAGTAGAGCTGTTTTCTTTCTCAATCGATGAAAGCATGGAAAGTCTATGAGTTAAATAAAGTGTTTTTACTTTTATATTTTTGGTAGTAAGTAGTAGTTGCATATTAATGCCAAATATCATGCTTAAAGTTGAACTTGGGGAACCATTAGGAAAATAATTCTATAATAAGGTTTACATATTCATCACTAAATTGTACTTCAACAAACTGATGTTGAATTGAATTTTAGATTTTCCCGGCTCTCGTGGATAACACTTTGGTGTTTGAAACTATAGGCACTGGGTTCGAACCTCGATGGGAACATCATCAATCACTAGGGGAATGCAGGTACATCCAGTGACGAGTCCCAAATAGGACGAAATGTGCATCCTGGATTCCACTGCTAGTCACCACCCACCAAAAATATGAATTTGATGTTGAAGAGTATGCAAATTCTTGAAAACTGATTTAAAATCAGAAGTTCATCATAAATTTTAAAATACACATTAGTGATCAGTGTTCTGAACTTAAAACCTTTTGAAGTACCACTCATGACACTAGAAGAAATTTACTACTCGAATTCTAGCCTCGAAACATATAGGTTTTATACTCTAATTACTAATTAAAACTAGACTAGTGATGACTCAATTGTGTAAAGGTTGATCAAAAGAAATAAATAAATAAGAATACATGGGAAGAAATAAAAGTACATCTAAGTGGAATTAGAACTCAAATAATTATAAAATCCTTAAACTATATTTTAGATTTATGAAGTAAAAACATTAAACGTTTATAAAACTCAAATTAACAAACAACAAAATCTTTTTTCATGAATACATACCGGCGTGCAACATCACTATATTGAAGTAAATTTCGTAGAGCCAAAGCAGCAGTAAGTCTGAGATGCTTAGTTACAGGTCCTTCATGAACTGGTGTAGGTGCGAAAGGTGGATTGGGAATTCCTCCGGTTAAAGCTCTCCGACATTCTTCTGACAAAATGGAAGATAAATTTAATTCATCATAAACCAACGGCTTTTCGATTTCACACGGGGATGGGTTTGATGCATCGTTTCTGGATAGTTCACAGACTGATTGACTAGCGTTCCCCGCTGCCATGGAATGGTCATTATTTGCTATACAGCCCAGACGAGAAGACAGTGGAAAGCTATGCTTAGAATTGAAATGATTCAGAAGTGAATCCAAGGCGGTATTCAGTATCACCTCAGAACAGTCCTCCCAAACACATTTAACCTAAAGAATAAAAATCAAATCAAAATGAACTCAAAGGCGTGTGGATTCTTCTAGTATGATTATTCAAACCAAGAGAATCTCAGGAAATCTACGGCTATTATGATTCCGAATATATTATTTATTTCTTCCAGTCCAAATTGTTCGCGGGGAAGGTACTCGAATCTATATCAACCAGTGAGCTCCATGGGTTTGAATCCAGACAGGAGTAATTACGTTTTGAGTAGGTGGCAAGCCTCATCAGTGTTACTATTAAGACCATACTACTGCTATTACTCCGAACATCTTAAAATGAATAAGATTAGATCATATACGCAAAATTAAGAATGAAAGAATTTAAGTGATTACATAGAAACACTAGAGACTTACTTGACGCAGATCTCGTACAGTTTCATAATGTGTACTTTTAAAATGACTCCAAAGTTCACTTGGCTCTGAAAACTCCTTTTCACACATACCCCATTTACAGCGTAACCGGGTATTTCCAACAGGAATTTTAGAAATTCCATTAATATGGTTGTCAGAAGTAACAGTAATTGACTTTGAACCGAGATCTGGATTGCAAGTAGCTATACAAAGTGGTGTTGTGGACTTGACAACATTAGCATCAGCTTTGACAACAGTTGAGGTTTGACGGCAGCTGGCATAAGCTGAAGTAAATGTTTCATTGGTATTTTGAACTTCATTTAATTCAGGTTTCCCGGTGTTGGGCACCACAGGAGTCTCATTAGTCGGTGGTTGTTTAACTGCTAAATTGTGACCCACACCATAAGCAGCAAAAACGGGGACAATCATAATCTTAGAGTCGGGTAGAGAAACAACCGCTGTTGCTTTTACAGTTGCCGCGGGTTTTTTCTGGACGCAGCAACTGTCTTCGTTCATATTGCTAGCAGAAACACCTAATTTCACTGAATGCAACCCATTGTGAACGCTATAACAACAAAACATAAATTCATCACATAAGTCACAATCGTATACATCGCAGCTTTGCACGGTATTAAATCGAATAAATGATTAAGTATAAATGAATGAATACTAAGGACTAAAAACTCAAAAATAAGAAGGGAAATAAAGAGAAAAAACAGAATCATATGCAAGAAGAGTTATGAATATATATGCACAGCTGAGATGTAAGACAACTTGAACTGATCATAGTCTATACAACACATCAATCTCATGGTGTTTTACAAGACAACAAACGAAATCCCTCCAATCGACAAACAAGTCTCATAGACGAATGGCATAATTTTGTGTCCACAAAACAGCTTTTGATACTTTACTCCCATTACTGATATATGGTATAGGATATTTGTACAAGGGAGTAGTAGCTTTGTGATTACGAGTGACTGACATTACTAAAATAAGTACTTCACATTCAATGTCAAAACTTCCTACACAGTAAATTCACTATACATGAACAATACTGTAAAGGTGACAGTAACAAATACTTCTGACTGACGCCTGTTATATTTTAAGGGCCCAGCATTTCGAGGTACATCAGATTAATGTCCTATCTTTAGGCAGCAGAAAACCCTTGTCAATTATAATTTAATTGGTGGATGGTGACTAGCAGTGGAATCCAGGATGTGCACTTCGTCCTATTCGGGACTCGTCAGCTGGATGTGCCTTCATTCCCCAGTGAGTGGTGATGTTCCCACCGAGTCTCGAACCCAGTGCCTATAGCTTCAATTATGTTAAAAGTGCCCAAACTACAATCTAAAATATGTGGAATCAAAAGTTCAGGCTTCCGCAGTGATTAAAAGTCAGAATGATAACGTTAGGATTTTTCAAGACATGACTTCCTCAGAACCAACTGAGAGTGCACAAAATATATCTGGTGTTTTGACAATATCTAGCTAAGCAGCTAACTACTAAAGAAAATAAACTGACAAATAGCTAGTCACTGACAACTACTTATGTTCAGAATGTCAAATAACAAAGTCACAAGTGAGCACAATAGATACACGTCTCATTGGATAGACTAGCACACTTGTTTATACTGGGTGTCAGTGAAACTGAGTACACACTAAAACAGTCACCAAAAAAAAAAAATTATATCTCACAAAGATTACTTACGTTGAATTGATATTATTGGTGACATCATTAGTATCTCGAGGTAGACCATTTAAAGGATGAATTAATTGTCCATTTGTTAACTTTACAGATTCAGGATGTCCATTCAATTCACGAACATCAACTCGTGAGTTTTTGAGTACATGATTAGAAGTATCTTCAGTTTTTGAGGTAAGTTTAGGAGATGTAGGATGAAGAGGTGTTCCTGTTGCTACTCGTTTACGACACTTAAAAGTGAAATAATAATACTTTTTTCAATTACACTGAAGCAAATAAAATATTCCTATATTAAAGAAAAATTAATAGTCTAGTTATCTTTAAGCTTACACCCAAACATTAAGATGCAATCATAATACTACCTGTAAGGTTTACACGACAGACTCATCAAAATATAGCAATGTTCTGGTAAAAGTAATTAACAGCTAAATTCAAATATTCATTAAACTAAGTGGAACTGCGATTCAACTAACCGAACGCAAACTTACATTTTACTGACATTATCGCTATTTAAAAATAATTACAGATCAGATTGAACAATTATTAATTCAACACAAATGTGTGACAATTCTTTGTAAATAAGATGACGGTAAATAAATAAATAAAAGTTGCAGTATCTCATCATGAGCTGACATCGGTTAGAGAAACATTGGAAGACCTGGGAGTAGTGGACAGCTGTTACGCCCTAGTTTGGGACTCTTCGGTAGTATGGGCACCCACTGAGGTTCAAAGAGTCTCGAACTAGGACGAAACAGCTGTCCAGCACTCGCAAGTTTTCCAATGTTTCTCTAATCGACGTCAACTTATGATGAGATCCTATAACTATTCAAATCCCTGCAAAAGAAATACTTGAAAATTTAAGTTGCATGCAGAAATTCTGAAGACATACTAAAAAATATAATCTGAAAAATGGATTGGTACGTCCCTAAAATTCACATTTTTTCAGATTCACTAGTCAAATTTCTATCAGAAATCTACAGAATGGTACTCTGAGATATCAGCTTAGATAATAATAAAATGATAAAAATAGCCAGCAATAAATAACCTTATACCTCTAATTAGCAATCTCTGGGGAGTGACAGGATTGAATACTTCGAGAGTGAAAGGAATCAGAAAACACGATAACCTTAAGAGTGCTATTTTACTGAAGATGTGGCTCATTGGTTTAACTCCCATTTCACCTACTTCAGCCGTCATACGCTAAGTGCGGCTGGTATATGACAAATCTGTTCCGGATAAATAAAGTTGAGTAAGCACAATATTATATCAGATAATAAACGGTGTTATTCTTAAGTTCAATGAAAAAAAACTAAGAGTCAAACTCATTAACAGTCGGGTATAAAATTCTTCCTAAATATTCCGGGTTTCAAAGTCCAAGTTTTTATGAGAAACTAACACCCAGCAGTACATAGGATTAGGTACACAGGCAATATATGAACTTTTACGAATGCTCACTCAGTCAACGGAATGAGCTAATCTCATCTGATCTCACGGAAGTTCTGTCTCTACTCAACAGCTATTAATTCTAGTAACCATCCAAATCAATGAAAGAGATCTAAGTGGTGCTGTGCAAACATGAGTGGCTTTTATTGCATATCCCCGCTCTAATGGTAGCATCGTAGTCTGTTGCTATGCGTGATTTAATCACAAGTTATGATTTTTGTAGGCTTTTTAAAATGAATTCTGCATTGAAAATTTCTTTCTGGCATTCATATTATCAACGGCATTATTTTCTTGAACTGCGTTACATCTGCTGCACTTTTATCAGAAAATGTTGTTTGATATTTGAGCAATGTAATGGATTAGAGGAGAAAGTGAGTTCAAAAGTTACAGGCATATTATTAAATTCTCATGAAATCATGCTGGTATATTTTGACGTATTCATTGAAATACCCACCAGACAAAGCACCACTTCAAAAAAGGGAAACGCCATATAACCGTCTCAAAATAACTAAGTTACGTTTGTTAGTTTGTTTAAACTCAGTTACCTCTAACAGATCTTTCATGCAAGGGCTGATGATGATACTGCTTTACTGCCCACGTTAAGTAGGGTGGAACACAGCCCGAAAATATGTGGTAAATTTGCTGAAAGTCTATGAGCCAATGAGAGTCCTAGATCCACAGAAAATGACAGCCCAAGACTTTAGAGATCCCTAATTTCTTTCAGAGACTATGGCGATGTTTGGCCGTGAAGGGAATACCGACAAAATACACTGCACTGATCAAGGCACTCTATTCGAACTCATGTAGCCAGCCAGATAAGAGCTTACGGAGAGTTGTCATCTGAAGTGGTGACAACTAGTCGTGTCCGACAGGGATGCCCACTGTCCCCATTTCTGTTTAATTTCATCATAGATGTACTAATGAACTTAATCCTAAATGACTTCAGGGACTCAGGGACTGACTTCTTACCAGGGAATACTCTCGTCGACTTAGAATATGCAGATGATACAGTCGCTGACAAAGTGCAGAGTCTTCTGAACATCGTGAGTTGCAATCCGCGAATGTCAGCATGCAATTCGCTCCCGCCAAATGTTAGATGATGCTACAGGACTAGTATGTTCTACATTGACTCCTAGCTTCGAAATAGGGAGTGAAGCGTGTCGACTACTTCACTTATTTGGGAAATTACATTAGCCCCAACGGGTTGATCGCTGACGAAATCTCAGCACGGATAGAGGAGGCTCGCTCACATATAGCAGTTTACGTCGTCCCTGACGTAGACGTGATATCCGGTTGGATATCCCATCAAAGAGCGTGTGTGCTGCTTAGCAGTCCACTCCGTCCTCCTTTATCACTTGCTGTGAGACATGGCCATTGAAAGTGGAAGACATCAAAAGTATGGCTATCTGTCTGTGTTCTATCTCCCATGTGAAGTGGTATAATACGGTGAGCAATATTGAGGTTAGGCATCGGTCGAGTGCTAGGTAAGGAGGGAGGGGAAATCAGTCGACGACGACATTTTGAAGTTACATCGACTGAGATGGTTAGGACATGTGTTGCGTATACATTCCTAGCCATCCAACGCCTTCTTTGACAATGGGCAATGTTAGCTGATATAGAATGGATCAGGTTAGAAGACAGCCAGTGGTGGTCAAACAAAAACATGGCTTCATCAGTCAATGGAATCCACTACAGTTAGTTAAAGCCAGCCAGCGAACCACGTCGGGAGATGCGGACTTCCTGGTTGGGATAGTAAAAACCAATGGCTGGAGACAATCGATGATATGGCTCAAAATCGTTGTGAAAGGCTGGCACAGATACATCCACTCTTTGTGACTTACAACATCCAATAAAACTATATTATTCTCCGTTATTACTAATGTTTTTGTCTCATATCCCTGTTTACTGTTCCTATTTTGCATTTCGTTTTATTTTCTCTTGCTTTGTGTGCTAAGTGAAGTGTGGCGACTCGAACTGCTGCACATCAGCGCAAAGTTCTACGTCGAAACCAGTTAGTTAGAGACTATTAAGAAACATAATCTCAAATGTGTGAATTTAAGTAAGAATCCATATTTGGCATAACATAACACGGGTATTATTACTATTTCTTTTAATTCCTAGAGGAACATAGGGCTTCAGACAAACGTCTCCATTGCGTTCGGTTCTCCGCTAACTTTTTCACCTGGTTCCACGTCTGTTCACATGCTCCTCTTCACATGAACTCCTCAAAGTCACCCTCACACTAACGACCAACTCGCCGCTTACCTCTCGAGTTCCATTCGAGGGCTTGTCTAGTGATGTCACTTGATGGTTTCCTCAGAGTATGGCCAATCCATCTCCATTTCTTCCTGCCTATTGGTTTCACAATTGGTTCCTGGTTGGTTCGCTCCCAGAGATCTCTGTTGCTGATCTTTTCTGACCATCTGATCTTGAGTATTGAGCGAAGACAACTGTTAATGAAGGTCTGTAGTTTGTTTGAGATGCTCTTTATGACGCGCAGTGCAAGTCTCTGATCCGTATAGTAGCACTGACTTCACATTGGAGTTGAAAATCCGGATCTTATCTTCTTTTGATGCTGAGTGTTGTTGACCTCCACACAAACTTGAGAATACTGAAAGCTTGTCTTGCTTTTCCGATCCTTGCTTTGATATCCTCATCAGTTCCGTCCGCCTGTAGTTGAAACGATGCTTCCCAGGTAGGTAAAAGAGGTTGTTTCTTTCAGGTCCCTCCCATTTATGCTGATTGTTGTCTGTTGTTGTTGCCCAGGAATCTTCATCACCTCTGTTTTCTCTATGTTTACTTGAAGTCCTGTGTTCTATGGATGCTTATTCTGCCAACTTGTTGCTTTTCACTTGCATATCTTCCAGTTTGTGGGAAATCAGACATATATCATCGGCGAAGTCCAGATCCTCCAAGTTTTTTTGTGTGGGTCCATTTTATGCCTGTCTCCTCGTTGCCTGTCTGTCCCATTATCCAATCTACTGCAATCACGATGAGTATAAACTCTTCAAAAGTAAAGAGATTTAATGCAACACTAGGAGAGCTGCGTAAAACAGTATGATAAAGATATAAGACGGGTCGCACTATATGTCACAGCATGCTGTATCAGTCTTAATGCACTGATTGCTGAAAAAATAGCAGCATGACCGTAGCAGGAAAATTTATCAGAAAATTCCTCCTGAACAATCGTATTTACAGTTTCGATGTTTATTTGACTATATATTTCAACAATAGTTGTGTAATTAAAACACCGTTTTTCCTAACTGATTCAAAGTTATTCCCTATAGTTGCTATTGGTTAGAAACCAAGGGTAAGTTTGTAGAGTATGTTGTGAACTTTTATCGATTGACTATAAGTATCATTCATACAGTGCGGTGTGATTTATCTTGTTATTAATGGTCTTCAGGATGCTAAGAATTGTAAGATAACGACTCTAGATGAAATGAACTGAAAAAGCTCAAGATCGCACAGATGTGTTCACATCTTATCCATCCATACTCTGATTCGAATATACCTACTACTCATTAAAAAAAATAATCCTTCTCCCATTTTTAGATTGTATTAGCATCAAATTTTTTTCCTCTTTTTTTGTACAAATTTCGAAGGTGATTAGTAAGTCAATCATTATCACTCAAATGTTTGGATTCATCTGACTTATTGAAATTTCTTGGTCGGGTGTGAGGGTTTACTCACCGATAACATTGGCTAGTGGTAGAGCGACATCATGAATTGGCAGAAGTTGGAATTCATGGACTGGCCATTGGATAGGGTCTCAGTGGCTTAATGGTCTACGAGCTAGCTCGCCTTGTAACCGGAAGGTGCTGGGTTTGAAACTCGGCGGATGCATGCAACTGTCCAGTACCCCCAGGTCTTTCAATAGTTCTTTAACCGATAACAGCTTACGATCATATCTTTAAACCAATAAAATTCTTGCAAACCAACACTTGAATATTTAAAATACCTTGCGAAGATTGCATGCTACAACTAATAGTTAGAGATCTTAGCTTTGTTAAGTCAGCTTGAAAAGGAAATTGAAGGAGGAAGTGGAAAATAATGACATGCTTTCACCAGTAAAAAACGGATAAACACGAATATGACTAACCTTATTTTTTGGGGAACGAGCTTCATGATTATTTGTTTCCATTTTGACTGGGCTTAAAACAGATGCCATAATATCATTTATACCTAAAACAATATGCATTAGAGTGTAAATATTGTGGAGCATACTGCCTACCTTGCTGACTTTCAGGCTCTGGAGCATTGACATGTTTCAAGTTATTATAGTGAATTTCGACGCTTCCACCTGGAACCTGAACTTTTACTTGGCCCACTCCAGGAAATATTGTTCTATCAACAAATATAAGAAAAACTAAATTAATGTATCTATTCAAACAAAAGCACAATGTATATCAACAAAATATATCAATATTTGATTTTAATAAACACTGATTGATGACAGTAACGATATACTTACTTGATCTGGGAATGAAAGTCGACAGGTGAAACTGCACCGATATTTCTAAACCTTTGTAAATGTGCTTTTTGATATTCATTATATATTTGAATACGTGGAATGCTGGAGTGATTATGTACAGCATAATTACTCTTAAGCCATTCAAACATGAATTCGCGTCTGTCCAAATGAGGTAAACCATTTTCTGTAGCAAGAAGTTTGGATGAAGGATTTGTTTGCTTTTGAATTTCTGAACTTGTATTAGTGGATGGATTATTTATTAGTAGTGTACATGTTTGTTGAGGTAAACAAACTTTACTTTTGACGTCATTCACACTCGGAGTGCCATGACTTACACTGAGAACATTGCTAGGTAGTGTCGATGATGAAGTCTGTATCACAGATAAGGCTGGTTTGTTCGCAGAGACAGACCCTGGATTTTGTTGTGTTGAATGCATTATAGTACCAACTTCACGAACAGGACAGCTGACTCTGGAATTAGTGATGATTGGAAGACAACTCCTAACTAATAAATCACGTTTATTTACACGAGGATGTAGAGCTTGATTTCCGGTAGCTAGTGAATCAGCCACCGATACAGTGGGGCCAGTGGAACATGAATGACAATTAATAACATTTGGGTGACGGTAATTTTGAGATGCTGAAATAAAGGTTTTCACAGTGGAAGTTATTGCACATGTGTCCTGAACACCAGAGCGCTGACTTGCACAGTGAGAAGGCTGATTTAACTACAAGTAAAAAACAAAATGAAAAACTGCATTGAACTGACAAGAAATGAAATCAGTATGGTCCGTGAAGAAGTCAAAGACAAGTTCACTCGCCAGAATTTTGTTGCACAAGCATTCTCAACCTACAAGTAGAAACAAATCTTCATGAAGTGCAACTGCTATCACCATGAAAAGCGTCCAATAACGCTCTCTGACTAAAATTTGGTGAATATAACACCGTAGCTCTCATAGTTTATGCGGCATTTGTTAGTATTACATGGTTATATATATCCGGTAAAGTTACCAACTCAGATTGTTGGTTGGGAATTTTCTTATCATCAAACATTTATCCTACATTAAATCCAATGTGGTCAGAAAGCAGCTGACAATGTGTTGCATGAAGAAAATCTCTGGTGAACTATTTCAATGTCATGGAACCTAAGTTCATGTATGCTTAACAGTGAAATTCATTTTGAGCAACTACAGAAAAAGTAGTTCGTTAATGATGAAACTTAGGGTGGAAAAAAACCGTGGTTGTGCTGAAGAATGTACATTTTAACCTGTGTATGAAGGAATGATGACCAGATCCATAGGTTACATGTTAACAGTATGAATAAAGAGAACGAAATAATCTTGCGACTATCTACACTGTAAATTTCCGATTTATAGCCTTTATGTAGATTCAGTAACAACAACAAGTCAGATTTCAATAAGTTAGCATAAAAGCATTACGTGAAATTGAATCAAACTGATAACAAAAAGGAATGCGCATTATTTGTATCTTGTTCAACTATTGGTTGCTGTCAACAAATTTACCCCTGATATTCAAAGTTTAGTGAAATAATGTATGCATAAATCATCTATCTAATTGTGCTCCCTAAAGTTTAATAACGAAATGAAACGCATAATCACTTATAATCCGCTAAAATAGTTTATGCAGTAGTTTGATGAATATAGAGACATATACAAAGAAGTAACTTACTGATAAAGTTAAATTTGGCTGGGAGCAGTGAATCGGTAGCTGGACTGTTGAATTTGTGGTGCACATGATCACAGAATCTTTATTGGGAAGATAAGGAATTGCAGTTGTTTGTGCAGTGCTTGGAATTACTTTTGTAGGTGGAGGTACTGTTAAAGAATTGGGTTTCGAAACAGATGATTTGGTATTAGCAGATTCTGTACCCAGTGCCTGCATGACACGCACACGTATAAGGCTATCTGATCCCATAGCTTGAGCTTCCAAATTCAGCAATGAAATCAGAAGGGGAAGTAGACTTGTATTTTGATGAGTTAAACGAAATCCCAAGGAAGCGGTAGCGTCTTCCTCGGGTGTTGATCCTTTTTGAAGTAAACGATCACACAGTGAAGGACCGAGGCAGGTCAAGCTATAAACAGTATCCACAGCAAGCACCACCAGGTGTAGATCTTTTAAACACAGAGTACTTGTGATAGACAAGAATGTAGCTGGTGGCAGTGAAGTCAAAAATGCAATATTGCGATCCGTCCAGGCAAAAGAAACTCTTTTTATGCCGGCAGGGAGAACACGATCGTATGTCATATCAAAAAGAGGTGCTGTACATAGGTTTTTAACAATTTGTAAACCTAAGGGAAAGACAAAATTGAACTTTTTGTATGCTGTAGCACTGATAAAATATAAAAAAAAGAAAATTGGGACGAATTAGATACTGTGATAGGAGCTGTATTGTAGCCAAACCCCATACACACAAGGTATGTGGAAAAGCTTCTTTTGCAGTTATGAAGTTTAAATAGAAAGGCAATTGAAACTTGAAAATAAGTGGCACATGGCACTGTGTAGTAAGCTGACTGAATATACAGAAGTAACTCGTATCTCTTCTTCTCAGTTAATAGGTGCCACTTAAGTTCGGTATATTAATTTATGAAACGGATATTTTGTAGGGGTCTAGTGGCTGGGAACTCCTTTCGCAATGAGCATAAACACATTACAAAAATCACGGAAAATCCTAAGAAATATGTGGTTCAGCTTCAGGACAATTAACTATATGCAATTTAAAGGTAAAGTTCCTAGAAAAGAAACAAAGATGTGAGTTCACTGGTTAGTACTTCAACTCAGCTACTGGTTACAGGCTTTATATGTACTACGTCATGAAGCACATCCAATCTTTCATGCTGATACACGTAGGGTGCCGGCATTATTATCTGGAAGTTAAGTGCTTTGGTCAGTGAGTTAAAATTTTTACACAATCCGAAAAAATACAAGCCTTAAGAACTGCTTTCCTAAGGTCAAAATGATTTATTAAGTAGGGCTGCACTAAATTATGAGTGATCATAAATAATATCAGAATTTGAATGCTGTAACTACTTTATTATGATAATACGGCTTTTTCTCCAAACCTAGTTTCTGGGGTGATATGAAATTTATCAAAACCAGAATATCAGTAGATGCAGTAGTTACAAAGCGTCAGGATGAAATAGAGACATACAAACTTATTTGAGTGTGATTCTTATATTACAAAATCACTCCTTAAGCATAGTTGGGATGTGGTAATGGGGTACTAACACTTTAAGGAAATGAGTGCGAAACTTCCACTAGAAAAGAAAACATACCACGAATGCGATCAATGCGATCAGGACAGACCAACAGGGTTGTGAGTAGACGATGCAAAGCGGATGTGAGAGAACCAAGTACCGGGAAATATAAAGATGACAATATTTCCAAGCCAAGTTGATGTAGACAAGAGTGTTTGGCATATATGCACAAGAAAATGAAGCGCAGGGCTTGAGAATGTCGTCCAATGATAACAGCACTTAATCCATCATCTACAGCCAGGTTCCGTAGTACCGTGGCAACCAGCTGTATACGGAACGCTTCTTCGTCGCCGTATGTCATCTCTTGGATAGTAGGTGAACTACATAATCTTCTATACCGTACCGTTTCGGAAAAATCTGAAATAACGAAAAATCAAAAACTGAGATAATATAGACCAAGGGGCATTGAACTAGGAAACAAAAAAGGAAAACTGAATTTAACAACTGCACTTAGAGTTAAAGTTATTTATCAATTGACTTTTTGTTAGTCTGATTAAGACATCACAGAGTGATGATGAAGTTAGTAAGATATTAGTTGAAGCCAAAGTTAAGTTACTAATCATTCAAACAAATAGAGCTAATATAGGAAGTTGTTAGGCAATACTTGAGATTATCACACAGACCAACTACCTTATAGACTTCTAGTCATGCAAACAGAAAACTGATTGCATTATGATGTACTGACTTTGGGGTAATATTTGTATCCAGTTCACAGGAATTCGGCAATGGATGAACACTGCACTAAAAAAACAGTAACAACGTAAACTAGTAACACCAAATACACGATGAACGCAACAGTGCATTACCGGAAATGCCATTACAAATATCAAAAGAGAGTAAATGAAAATAAACATAATTATACACTGAAAAGTGATTATGTCGTTGCTGTAGTTATTTATGATGAAAATGTGAAGGACGGTTAGTAAAACTGGAGAAAACGACATGAAAAGTTATGCTTACTCGAAGAAAGCTAAATTCAATTTTTTAAACTACACATAAGTCTATGCAGATCCACAAGCCAAGTAAGAAGTACGTCTATAATATCAGTACTAAAGGCAGTGCCTGACTGCTTACACATCTCAGTGAAAGTAATTGAATTAAGACGCATTACTTGAAAGTCACATGCTTAAGTTAGTGAGCTTTAGTCTGATTTGATGGAAATACTCAGGATCCGCCTGAGTGCTACATCTTGTACAACTAATACAAATGGATTTTATTTCACACTAGCGGCGATAATCAACAGATGATGGATACGACTGATCTTGTTTGTTGACTAATCATATCAAGTTATGAGCAATAGTTTATGCTCGAAACGTCATCAGTTAATATTACTGTATAACACTGTGTGATCTATCAAAATAAAATCTTATCCATAATGGAGTTATGCTCTACCACAGTGCCCAAGTTTTATACTTACTTAATAAGTATTACATTTCTAAAGTATGAGTTGAAATCGTAGAATAAAAGAACTAACGGGGAATGCTGTCCAAAGTTGATACACATCATATCCATATATCAAGTAGGAAAAAACCCCCCGGCAAAAACGTGATACCTAGTCATCAAATATCGTACAAGGAAGGTAGTTTATTCACATTTCACTGTCTATATCACGAAGTATAAATGCATCTGCACCATTGTGGTAAATTTTTAGTTATATGAACTTGATGATCTAACCAGAAGAATGCCGCCCAGAAAATTTATATAAGCCTATAAGACTCAGAACAATAGCCGATGAAATCAGTCCATATGGCTTGTTGAGGCCCAAACTACCAATTTTATTCAACATTATTACTTTAGTTAACTTTACTCTTTTATAATAAAGCCAGCTAACGTGGTGGGTATCAAAAGTACAGAATCTAGGAAACTCCGTCAATATATCCGAAGTCGATAGACAAACACCTGAACCTTAGTAATTTTTCTACCTTTAATAACTACATCTATACAAAAAGCAGAAGAGAGGACATTGACGCACGATATACTCAAGCCCTGGCGAGCCGCTTCATGCTATATGTTGAGCGGTTTTGCAAAGGACAAGTTCATCTTCTGTATTTGTGACAACCATAAGTTAACCACCAACTTATGGGGTCTTATGTGGCGTCCAACATAAGCGTACAGACATACTTGTTTGACCATTTTAAATCTCTAAAATAACAATTGCTTATTTAAAGTAGTCTTGAGGGAGATGTGATTAAATTCTCTTAGTGTTCAGAAGACTCATCAGTTTTTGCAAACCTTAAGTGCACTAAATTTCCTGCAATGAGATTTGGAAATTATGACTTACGAACAAATCTCTCATGCAGCTGAATGAAAAATGCGTAGATGTTCTCGATAAATATTGTTCGATGCAGATGTACGTTTTGAACATCCCTATTAGGAGACGCTGTTACAGAACTTTTCGACTATCACGTTCAAATGCTACCGTTATGTTAAGAAATACAGTTGATGGAGATAAGTGGTGTCTGTGTGCCAAGATCTAAACAAAGAAATATCTAACCAAGAAACCCGTAGTTTAGGTTTCCCAGGGTTGTCACATTTACATTTCGGCGTCGTACTCTTAGGAAACCACCAAGTGACATCACTAGACAAGCCCTTGAGTGGAACCCGAAAGGGAAGCGGCGAGTTGGTCGTCCAAAGGCGACTTGGAGGAGGTCATGTGAAGAGGAGATGAAAACGTGTGGGCAGACTTGGAGCCAGGTGAAGACTCTAGCAGAGAACAGAACACAATGGAGACGCACGGCTGAAGCCCTATGTTCCTGTAGGAATTAAAGGATACAACAATAATAAATAATACAATTTTGAAGCCTTAGAGATCTCTTCATTTAGTAGTTGAGTTATACGATAGGGCGCACTTTGCCATATGCTTTACTTGGGTGATTCCTCCTGTGGTTGCTGTTATTTATTGTAGACTAGGGCAAACACTTACCGAGGAAGACTGCAAGTTATGTCTGATTCCTATTCTCCAACTATGTATGGTTCATCATCTTTAAACAACAACTTCATACGCTTTTTCAAAGTCATTGTGAGTGGCAATGAGCACGTAGACTTATTGCATTTTGAAGTATGTCAATCAGTTACTTAAGATAAAACTGTGGACAGTAGGTCTGAGAATAACTCATAATTATTTCAGAAACTGTCTCAAGGACAGACCCTCCCTTATAAATTTATATCAGATAGACATCACTACAATAGCATCCTGATTCAGATGTACTCAAAACCTAGGAGGACCCCTGACACCAGGATTGGTGACAAATATGATGGCTTCGACGAAACCGATTCTCAGTATTGTGAAATGAGGGTGAACTAAATAGTCACTGGTTTTGATGAGACTCACGTATTGAGTACAAAGTATTTACGTATCAGCCTACGACAAGACTAGTGTAACAAAGTGAAGTAAACAAATTACATGGTGAGTGATAGAAACCAATGAGTCTCACTGAAGATGCATAACACTACTACTTTTCCCACAAGTTAAACGAAAGTACTAGACAGACTGTACTGGATATGTTTGGTCATTTTCAAAATAATGAGAAACTGGTAACGACAATCTATGATAAATGAAGTTGCACATCCCTTTATAGTAATAAAATCCCCTGACTCTCCACTTTGGCCTGACCAACCTAGTGGCACGAGAAAAATAAGATATAGCTAATACTAGTTGTATGAGTTCGAATGGTTGTTCGCAATGGGAAAATGAATCTCCCCAACCTAGACAAGTCTTTAGCATTGAGTACGACAGTTACGTCTGCTTCAAATATGAACGAATTATGAGGCAGTGACTACTCATGAGAAACTACCTAGAGCGAATGGAAATTTTGATGCAAATTCTTATTAGGTAGAGGAAATATGAGATTTTTATCAGTATATCAGGATATTAAAGCAACCGGTGAAAACTTCCTATCCAGCTTGAGCAGTTCACACTGAAATGGCAACACTTGCAAGACCCAACAAAAACAACCAATAAGTAAAATACATGGATTCCAGAGTGAACTTTCAGACAGTATATTACTAAGAAGCTAATCCGAGAAATTAAGTACCACGCATCATATTGCATATATGGATAAAACATACTGGTTTCAAGTGCTTTAAAATATTAAATGATAATAGTTTTCTGTCATGACAAAAGAGCATTCTGACACTTATGTATTTCAAGATAAAAATATGGTGATTGATTTACTTACTTGAGTTGAAGGCAGTGGGGGAAAGAAAGACTCGTCCATCTTCGTTATCAACATTTGATTCCCAGAACTGAACCAAAAAGAATTATGAACAAATTTTAGCACTTACACTGAGGTATCTGAGTTGCTGAGCAGTTGAGGACTGCGCAGGAGTATATGAGTTTGGGACATTGCGCATAAAATCTATATCTGGACAGCTGACACCAACAGAACTTAAAAGTAAGTCAAGCAGCCGAGGGTTTCTGCTAATACTGAAGCAGTTTGGCTGAGAGGACATCAACAGGATTGTATTTAAAGCGAGTTCGATTTCATTGGGAAGTCCTGATAATAGTGATCGTTCTAAGGATGTGTATTCGAAGTGATCCTTCAGGTCAGTACTTAAATTCCAACTCTCTCGGAGGTGATTGGGTATTTCCTCAGTGTTAGAACGCAAAGAAGTCCAGTGTGCATTTGGTCGAGATATTTTTATGGTTTGATCGAAATCCTAGGGAAAAGTTAACCATGGGAAACTGAGAAACGTACTTGCATATCGTCATAGTAGATCACAGAATTATCCTGCTCATCAGACGCGAAAGAGCCTCTTATCATCATTCTTTGATTCCTCTCGTATAGCTCAAGATAGCGCTGATATATTGTTCGCAATCCATGACCTGCATCTATACAACCTGGTGGAAGACCTAAGGCCAAATATACCTCCATCCATAGGTGGGAAACTGTAACCTGATAAAATGTACTAAGTATTGTTATTGTGACTAACCTGCTTGTGTCCTCCACGGATAGCAACTTCATTGTACAACTTCCGAAGGTCAATCTGGTGGCCGGAGACGTAAGGAGGTTGCAGGACAACATTTTGTCTGAGAAGATTAAGAGGATGATAATATTGTAACCTGTTATATCTTGAAAGCTTCTGAAGTTCTGACATAAATTGTTCATGTGTTTTCATGCATAGCGGAAGCGAACACATAAGGGAATTCAAGCGGCTCTTGGTTCTGGACATTTTATTTCACAAAATGCAGTTGACTGGGTTACATATATGAGAAGAATTCACCGCCAAAAGTTGGATTTAATTTTCCTGACTACATGTAGTACAGATAATGTGGAACTACGGAGGATGAAACACTCAGGATCTCCAGAGTGACTGGTTCAAGCGCCTAGTATTTAGAGCGTGAAGGCCTGTCAGCGTGCACTTACGCAATCAAAAAGCCTTCCTTTTATGTCCCACTGGTTCATTAATTTACCGGTGAGTATGGGTGTGAGGTTTAGCACGGACAATGCATAATGCCTCACCGATATAGATTGTGGTCACGAAAAATAAAATGGTCTTGTCCGAGAGACAGCAATGATAGTTTATAACAAAAAATTCAAGCACACTGCCAAAAGCATATTTAACAGTCGGCCCGAAAAACTTTCATAAAGGATGATCGCAGGACAGACACATAGCGTACAGATTACTCGCGTGCTGTCTATCACACACAGAAAGAGGTCAGACAGACACTAGGTCATTGATTGAATGATGCGATAGTAGGAAAGACTATTGGGAGAGAAAAATGAAGATAGAGTCGACCAATCAAATTTCTGTATAAAATAATAATGGTAGACAGAGAGAAAAAGATATCCAACGGAGTTAGTAAATTCTGAACAAGCGGAAAACGCGGGAGAAACAAAATAGGCGAATTTATTTAAAACATATTAAAACAAAAACATAATAGAATTTATTTTGCCAACAAATATTGTAAACATATCCAAAAATAATACTGCAGATAAGTGAGAAAATTGAAAAAATTTCGGTATCTCACCCGGGGGATTAAATTTCTGGCGGTGCATCTAGCCGCGCCCATTTCAAAGTTTTACGACGTATTCAGTCGTGATTCTTCACTTTCATTGGACAGAGCACTTCTGGGTATAAGGTGAGTTTAATTAAGCACACAGTTTTATTTAAATTTGCTGCGTGGACTCTGAATAAACAATGAAATGTCTTGGCGTCTTGTGTTCCTCAAATTTTTATCTGAAAGACTAGTGACGTTGAACTTCGTAAAAACATAAGTCCATTTTACCTCGCTTGGCAAAAGGCGATCAAACGCTGGAAATTACAAAGTAATAGATTGTAAAACTGAGTCGTTGCGAGATTTATCAGCACTTGGTATGCAGCTGTTTCAACATTCGATGATATACTCATTCACATTAGTTAATGATTGTTTTTTCATTATTAGTACAGATGGGTAATCAGTTTGTCTTTCCCAGCACTTTCGTCTTCCGACAGTCAGGTTTGAGTTATTTTTGGGTGCCTGTAGCTAGAAAACCAATGTAAACTTCAGTATCTGCCAGTTTATAACTCATTGTTTTTATGAAAAAGTCAAGGTGTGGTAGAAGTGAATGTGACCATTTAGCTGGTTTACATCCGGAAGAAGAATTGTGTATCTTAGTTTAAACTTATTTCCCCAATGTTAAAAGATCATTCCAATCACTTGATACATATCTTAGTATTCATAGAGTAACATTTTTGTGATTTTAGTAGGTAATGACTCCTGGGAGTGATCTTTCTAATTATCTCACTCCTTTTAAGCCTGTCCCTATATTCCCACTGTACATGTTCATGGACCCTAGTATAAGAAATAATGTCAGTAAAATGGCTTAATCCGATTTAGAATGTCTTCAGACGTTTTTCTGCAACTTCTGATTTCCTGAGGTGTTTGCGTTATCGGAGCTATTAAATAATGTCAGTGAATCAAATAGCTCTGTAAGATTGGTGTAAGTCATTGATTATTTCTCTTTATGAGAACCGAATGAAGTCCTGGGATAATCATAGTGGATTAGCATAGCTGATATAGTATTTAAAGTTCCAGGTACAGTAATCATCGCAGGTTGAGTGATGACTAGAAACATGAGTGAAAACCTGACAGGCCTTAAGGCAGGCTCTGGAACACGAGCATACTTCCTGGCGTCCAACACTCGCCATATTTAATGACTTAAAGGCTGCATATCCCCCTGTCGACTGAATGGCGTTTGGGGAATGTTTTTCTGTGGAGTGCCGAAAAAATGAGATAAAATTGACAGCTGCATATGCGTAATAATGGGAAACACTGTTTAACTCAACCTTATATTAGAAAGGCTGTCTTAAAAATACTGTAAGTTTAGTATGAAATGACTAAGAAGGTTGTAAGATATGTTTAACAAAAACAGTATAAAATGGATTATAGTTCGTGTTTACGACATCATTTTTGATTACTTTTAATAGACTTTGATGAAATGAATCCACAGTGTAAGGCCCAATCGAGAGGAGAAACCACATAACTTGAAGTAGCTGTATCATTATGTTATTACCCTGTCTTGTACGTCCTTATGTTGCCTGTAGTTAAAATAATGCCGCCTAAATAAGTGAAAGAAGCCATGTCTTTCAAATTTATTCCGTTGAAAGTTGTTGATTGGCTTCATCACTTATGTCTTCGCTACGTCCACTAAAAGTGCTGTTTACACAGCTTCTGCTTCACTGTCATTCTACGCCGTTTGATAATGATGATTTGCAACTTAGCAACTTGGTCCTCACATGGTTTCATTTTCCTGAATGCAGCTTCTCCCTGGAGGGTTTTTGAATCCTGAGCAGCTTTTAGTCTCTTCCAGATGACATGATCTAATATTTTGCTTGGTGTGGATAGGAGAATGCTTCCACTCCAGTTTATGCAAAAGGCCGATTCATCCTTTGTTATTTTGACAAGATAGCCTTTTTTCCAATCAGGAGGTTCCTGTCCTTCCTTGCGAACTTTCTGTAATAGTTGCATAATGATATACACTGAGGCCTTTGGATCCGTTTTCGGTGCTTCCATAGGAATTCCGTCTAGTCCTGTTGCTTTTCGAGTTGTCTTTCAGTAGATTTACGGCATTCAAGGCTTCTTCTTTGGTCAGAGGATTAGTGTTGAATGATAGTTAGTGGCTTTTGGTGGTATATTTGAACGCGTTGCGGTTTGTTCGGTTGAAGAGTCTTTTGAAATGATTGCCTCGTTATTTCCTTTGCTTTGGGCTGTTTTCACCATCTTCCATTAGCTGCATCTGTGTTGGTCTCTTCCTGGATAGCAACTTGGTTATAGGGTATAGTGTATATTTTGTCTTTTGTATTTTGTTCTGCTCCAGTTCCCAGTGTGTCGTAAAATTGTCATTCATTTTTCATCACACTTTTCCTCGAACTCAGTTTCTCCTCTCTTCGTAAATCTGCTCACTGGTTCATCTTCTGTCTCACCATCCCTTTCGCCTCTGTTAGCTTCCGGGTGTCCGTAGAAAGCCACTCTTTGTCTTCTTTATCCTTCTTCAGACGGTTGCAGCGGTTCCATTCAGCGTCACTTGTAGAGAGTTCCAATGTTCTTCTACATAGTTTTCCCCAGCGATGCTACATGGGCATCACCAAAGTGTCTTATATTTTGTAAGAGGAACAATGACCGATATTCTAATTAAGCGTTTTCATGATTTATAGTGAAAATGAAGAATATAAGACGAATGTTTGATGTGATTTAATACTTAAGGTTTTTGAAATTGTGCATTGTAAAGGTAAATTAGTAAAGTTCGTAACTTTCTTTGTTATAATCTTTTAGTGACTGCATACATCCAGGTATCCTGCACTATATCTTTGATTTCACTGTGGACGGAGCAAGAAATGGAAGGCACAGAGGTTACCCGCTCACCTCCATCAAGTATCCCTGGTAAGTTTCTTTTTTAAGAATAAGGGTTAACCATGTAGTTTGTATGCTTTATAAATAAAGCTACTAAAAGGTTTCAGGTGTTTAAGTATTTGTGTTAAGTGAATTCTAGTTTATTGATTGACTGAAAAATTTGTGTGGAACCTTGCACAAAAGTATCAGTTCAATTAAGCACTCAAAATTAAAGAACGAAACTTTATGATATTAAATTGGGCAATTAGAGAAAGGATGAAGTGAATAATCAAGTGAAGATTTTGAGAATCTGAAAAATGTCAAAGAGTAGACCATTTAGTGGCATATTACAAAGAATCTTCAACCACTTATTATTAGATTTTCGAAGACCCTAATCAAGCAATCAATGCATTTCCGTTTTTAAAATGATCAGTCTATAACTTAATGTTCTGGTCGTTCTCAGTGAGGTCCTGCTTCAGCTATTATTACCCGCCGTCAAATCCAGTGTCTTGGTATGTGTAACGTGCTACTATTTGTTATTATTGTTATTATTATCTCCTTTAGTTCCTGAAAGAATATAGGGCTTCAGCTGTACGTCTCCACTGCGTTCGGTTCTCCGCTAACTTTTTCACCTGCTTCCACGTCTGCCCACATGCTTTCACCTCCTCTTCTCATGATCTCCGCCATGTCACCCTCGCACTGACGACCACGTCGCCACTTCCCATTTAGGTTTCACTTGAGCGATGGCCTGGTGTATGATGTCACTTAGTGGTTTTCTCAGAGTATGACCAATCCATCTCCATTTCCTCCAGCATAATTGTTGCACTGTTGGTTCCTGGTTGGTTCGTTCCCAGAGATCCCTATTGTTGATCTTTTCTGAAGATGTGCTTTGTGGCGTGATCCTTCAATTGTTGAGTATTGAACTTGGCTTGTGGTCTGTCTTCAGCTCCTGTTTCGTTGAAAGCTTTTAATTTGATTTGGGGTGTTCGTTGTACGAGATAGTGAGTGGTCTGAGCCTACGTCTCCTCCTCTTCTTACTGTTGTGTGCAGTAAGCTGCATCTCCACTTCCTTGAACAGCATTGAGATGAAGTCAATTTGGTTTTTGGTTCACCCGTCTGGTGACACCCATGTAGCCTTGTGGATATCCTTGTGCTTGTATATGCTGCCAGCAGTCACTAGTTCATTGAAGACACAGAAGTCTGTGAAGAGTTCTCTGTTTTCATTGATTTCTCCGTCAGCTTCTCTACCTGTGTTGTCTGGTCCCAGTTTGGCGTTCATGTCTCCCATTATAATTTTAATGTCACCAGCTGGAGTATTGTCCATTGTTGCTTGTAGTTGTCTGTAGAACTCTTCTCTGTTTTCGAGGTATGAGTTGTTTGTGGGTACATAGCACTGTATAGTTGTCACTGTCCTTCCTTTGTAGTTGAATCTGGCGCTTCCCATTGCATCAGAGCCTTCTCTGTTGTTGTGACATCATGATAGCTACGCCTTCGGTGTGCATGTGGTTGTCTTCTGGGTGACCAGAGTAGATCACAGACTCTCCCGTTGATAATTTGGAGAGTCCACTACCATCTCATTTGCTTTCGCATATATACAGTACTTGAGTACTATAACTCTTCATCTCACTTGCGATCTGGGCAGCTTTGTGAGTCTCATACATAGTGCGGACGTTCCTTATCGCCGCGCATATTTCTTCCGTCACAAGGGGACTCATCGTACTGGAGTTTCTGCAGGAGTTTTGTGTACAGGGTGGAGTTATATTATTACTATTGTTGTTCCCTTGGGTTCCTAGTGGAACATAGAGCTTCAGCTGCACTTCTCTACTTGCTTCTGTCTTCTGCTGTACTTTTCACCTGTATCCATGTTATTCCATACTGTTTTAGCTCCTCTTCACACGATCTCCTCCATGTCACCCTTTGACGTCCCACTCGTCGCTTCCTTTTCAGGTTCCACTCGAGCACTGGCCTGACGCGCGATGTCACCCAGTGGCCTCCTCAGCGAGTGTCCAAGCTATCTCCACTTTCTCCTGCATATTTGTTGAGCGATTGGTTCTTGTTTTGTTTGTTCCCATAGTTTCTTGTTGGTGATTCTTTCCGGCCATCTGATCTTCAGTATAGAGCGAAGACAGCTGTTGATAAAGGTCTGCAGCCTGTTGAAAATATTCTTGGTGACTCGCCAAGTTTCTGATCCGTATAGAAGGACTGACTTGACGTTTGTATTGAAAATCCGAATTTTGTTGTTGATGCTGAGTGAAGAAGATTTTCAGATTGGTTTCAGGTTGATGAATGTGTTTCTCGGCTTCCCGATTCTCGATTTGACATCCTCGTCCGTTCCTCATTTATTACTTGGTTTATTATTCCAACCAACTAGAGCAAATGAACAAAGAAGCATGCAGTAAAAAGTTTGTATGTCTCCTGCCTTCAGTGGTAATATCAGAAAGCTGCAAAGTTGAACAAAAAGCACTTCTACTCAGTATGTATGCCGTTTGGTCGGCTCTTGGAGACCACATCCTATTGGAGTGGTACATGTTGACGATTGGAAAACGAGCTTTTTAATGCCTGTCAGCATTCAGTCAATTATTTGTTGTGTTCCCTTGTCAATGCATCTAACCATTTACGTTCCTATCCTTAAACTAAGAATCGGCTCAGACTTCCTGTAGCACCATCTTGCATTCGGTATGAACTGAATGCTTGAAATATATATATTCAGATTTTCACTCCTTGTGTTGAGGGGGCTATTTTGCCAGCATCTTCACATAAGGTGAATACTTCGTCTGTGTAATATAAATCAAGGAAATGTTTTCTTGTTCTCTAAACTCGTCTTGTAATACTTCCATGTATTAAATCATCATTGTCTACCTTTTTATCGACCCTTTTTCCCCCTACTTAATTTTTGGGCGTAAAAACTTTTGAAACTACGTATGTTTCAGATATTATGGCGATACCTTCGGTTTGTGTCCATCATTGTTCCCTGACACATTTATATTAACTTTTTAACTGAAGGTTTAAGTGTTTTAAACTTATAGGTGATTATGTAGTTTGTGACATCGCGCGTCAGGCCCTCGAGTGGAACCCGAAAGGGAAGCGGCGAGTGGGACGTCAAAGGGTGACATGGAGGAGATCGTGTGAACAGGAACTGAAACAGTATAGATTAACATGGATGCAGGTGAAAAGTACAGCAGAAGACAGAAGCAAGTGGAAGCGTGCAGTTGAAGCCCTATGTTCCACTAGGAACCCAAGGGAACAATAATAATGTAGTTTGTGCGTCGGTGGCACAGCAGTGGAATGCTTTCCAACCACGGATTTGTTCCGGGGTTCGATCCCCGGCCACCGATGCACTCCCCAAACCTCGTTAAGCTAGTAATAAGACTAGTAAAGAGGGAAGGTTGGGCATGAGGCTAGCAACCGTATCCCGTAAAAATAAACATCACTGCTACCTAAACTTCAAACCTCTAGCTTGAAGCCTTATGTTCCACTGGGAATAATAATAATATAATGATAATAATCACTTTATTCCACAACAATAACAATTTACAGCATGGAATTTTCAGCGTTTCTTTTACATATTGCAATGGTTTAGCTCTGTTTATAATTATATAAATGTATAAAATGTTAAAATATTGATAGTTTATAGGAAAAAATAGAAACCCCAACAAAATCACACCAATTGCTAGGTCATAGTAATAATAAATAAATAATATAACAAATAACACATGCAATAATGTGCATCAAAAAATCAATAAATATATATAGTTTGGGAACAATAAAACTGCTTCTGGTAATATTATATGTAAGTATACATTTTTCTTTTTAGTCTTGTCACTCGTGAAGTCAGCTCAACAACAACATGGCTTGCGTCATGGTGACTACCAACGCTATCATCAATATATTTCCCGTAAGCTTAGGAGAATGAGAAAATCACTACATTTTCAACAGGTAAGTGAAATTATACTCTGATATGTTCATTTCTTTCTTAATTAGGGCAATCGATCAAAAGTTACCCCAAAGAAATTAACACCAGATATTGTGACCGATCCACGTTTCATTATTTTGGCAGTTTTTGAAATCGAACGATCATGGGCATATGCTATGCAACTGAAAGCTGAATCTGCCACAGAAATTCGCAAACGTTTTCAAATGTGTTCTCGTCTTCGTAAAGCAGTTGCACGTGCTGAGCTTTTGTGTAGCATGGAAGATGATTTATCATTATTAGACGCACAAACCAAACTTGAACTGCGCGCCTACAGGCAATGGATTCGTGGAATTTTATTTTTTGAATTGCAGGTATTTGGGTACTTTTTAATATTTCAAACTTGCTACATCAATATAGGCTAAAACATACAAGACATCATCATTGCCTTTACTGATAAAAAAAACAACAGAAAGCAAAAATTGATCTTCATTTTATGATTTGCTCACAAATTTGAATTTTTTCATTATTTAAAAGCTGTACAAATTTCGTCAGAGCCGAAATCAGTTTGTAAACTGTTGTTAAAAGCCAAATAGTGCTGCTCCGTTAACTTGTTGTAATGAATAAAAATAAAGACGTGTTGCTTGTAGAGGGGGGGGGATAATATGGTCGAATCTGAACTATATGACCCTTTTGTTTAGGCGCTTGACTTATAGCTAGTAGATCACATGTTTGGAAATCACCTCACCCTACTGAGATATAGACAGTCAGGCAGTATTATCACCCCTCACAAGAAGTGTGACCCTCTACCGAATGCTAATAAGTGATAAGCAATGATTTTATAAACTAGCAGAGAAAATAAACCATATTTTGTGAAATTTACATACCTTTAATATTATTTACTTAAAATATTTCAGCAGTTGTATTTCATAAAATTTCCACTCTTTTTTTATAACACTTTACTTGTTACTCATCATTTATCTAGAATTGGGCCACAGCCAAAGAGCATCTGGAGTCAGCTCAAGCTATCTATGATGTCTTACTTCAGATGGTTGATGAAGACAGTCGAAGTGTGTATAAGTCTCGCATTGATGATCTTCTGCCTCAAATTCGATACTGTGCTCATTCAATTGGAGATGAGACAGCAGCCGACGATTTACAGCGAATGCGTAATCAAGCATCTGATGGTCTAACGCTGTTATCAGAGCTTCAGTTAGATCAACTTCTTAGTCAAGCTCGAGCTAGACAGGCTAGCCAAGTTAGTGAGGTAGATTGGTTGGGAACTATAATTCCAGTAAAATCAGAAAAGGCAAAAATTGCAATCTTAACTGTAAAGGTACGTTAAACATATGCACATTTATAAACTAAGAATACATAGTCTTGTGGTTCATTATGTAAACTTACTGACGGTATGTTTTCTTTTCTTTTCCAGGAATCTGAATCAGAATTGATAAAGGCAGAAACGCCTTCAGCGAAATTAGCTATTTACGAATCAGTTTTGAAATCATGTGTTGAAGCGATTACATCTGTCAGAGATGAGTTACGTACTGCAGTGGCGGCTGAACCATCTGTTACTGGAGATAAACACAAAGCAGCTATGGTGGCTTCCACTAAATCCGGTCAGAAATTAGGCTCTGAAAAGGTACAGTGATGTGTAACTTTTTAAACCGTATTATAAAACCGCTTGTAGACACTTTATGCTTGAGTTTGATTGAACCTAGTGCAAATAAAACTGATCCTTCTAATTTTATGATTTCAAATGAAAAATGTTGCAGTTTTGTTGGAAAATAGTTGCCTATTTATAAGATATAGGCGTATGTGAATTAACCACCTCATAGTTTAGTTTGATATTATTTATGCTAAAACTTATAATAATTCTCAGCAACTGAGCTAGAATTAGGTGGAGAACCAGCAGATAACGGTCGAAATCTTCAAGATGGTGAACCACATCTTCATCATTGTAATTGCTTATTATTCCTTGTGTTAACCAAATATTTTGGAAATTTCGACTTTTTAACAGTAAACCTCCAAGATTGATCTATTATTTCATTTTATGCTCTTTACCACTTCTATCCTTGTGTCTATGGTTCTGGTAAAGTAAAGCCTTTGCATATAGGCAGTGTTTCAGTGGACAGTTTTTATGTGATTGCACTGATTTTATAGATATTAAAGCTTCGGTATGCAGCAACACTTTTCTTAATATCGTAAATTGTGATTTTAATTCTGCACTTTTAACTTCAGGTTTCACGGCTTCAAATGTTATATACTTATTTACAATATTTAAAATTAAGTAAAACAATCGATCGAACTCTTCTGCACATTGAAGCCACTATTGTCGGGTTAGCTGAAGGAACTCAAAGAAGGAATAATCTTGCTACAAGTGCTTATTCTAAACCACAAGAACTCTCTCGTCTCTACGATACTGTGGTACAGAATTTCCAGGAGATTATTTCTCTACCGTGTTTGATTCAAGAACATAATGGTTTAAAGGATTTATTATACGCGAAAATGTTATCCAATCGTAGTTATCGGTAAGTTGAATAACTTTGATTGGTTGTAACTATCAGAGCAAGCAACTTGTCCAGTGTGTTAATATTCATTCAATCTACTACGTCTGTACACTAGGAATTTAATCATCAAATAATAACTTAGCCTACTTCTTGGGTTACATTTGACAGTTCAGTTTAACAGTTATGAGAGACTGTCGAGTACTTTACTTTACTTTACTTCGGCTATCTCCTACGGGAGGATGAGCCGGCTTCATGAACATATCGAATCATCGCTGCCCAGGCGCGGCGATCTGATGCAAGGTTTTGCGACAGGGTTATCCAATTCTTGTTCCACAGACGGAGTCCGTAGACGGTTTGTAGACCCAGGCACTCCATATCAGCCTTGACTGTACCAAGCCATGTTTTCAGCTGTCCACCCCTGCGACATCGCCAAGATGGTAATGGCGAGGGATTTAGAACTGATTTGACCAGATCGTCATCTGGTCGGCGCAGAACATGGCCAAACCACCGAAGGCGACGTTGTTAGGGAGTTCATGAAGTTTCATGGGAATTTGGTACGAGTGATGTCCCCAGAATCGCTCGGCCTTTTGTTTGAGAGTGCAGCTCTAGCCTTTACACAATCAAGTGTGACCTACAAGGCAGTAGGAGTGGAGTAGGGAGTCCACTATCCATTAGCAGCCGCTGACCGGAGTTCAGTTCATACGCCTTTTTGAATGGGGCCAGACATCCAGGACATCCAACAAGCCCTTTGTCCATACGTCTGCCGGTGAGCTCCAGTGAGCTTCATACGCCAGTCGTTGGAGGTTTGGAGTCAGGGTTTAGCCATCTCCCCTAGACTGTCATCCAATGGACAGTCAACCCGGTGAAGAGCGCCGGGCATCCGCTTTCGCCCTCTCACTTTGGTGAAAAACACCTCCGCCACGTGAAGGCAGAGAGTAGGACTTCCTCAGGAGAGGCTATGTAAGACGCCCGGTCATATGGGAGCATTTCAAGAGGTGTGCGGAGTGGTGGCCAACCCGCAGCGCAAGGCACACCCCCCCGACCATCCTGAGGCTTTGGAGGCTGTCGAGTGAGACTGGATTAATATAAAGTTGATTAGAATTGAAGGGTAGAACTGTGTTTTTTGTTAACGGACGAGGTAATATTGGAAAGGTATCAGTAGCACACGCATACACACAGTATGAAGGAATTCACGTGGGATTTTAGTGGAAACTTTTTTCTTCTGCAGAAATTTCCTATGACTACTTTGAAAAATATAATCAATTAGTTGGCTGTTTGTAAACGATTCTACTAGTAATTCATACAGGAAAAAAAAGATCCAGTCGGGGAACGACGTCTAGATTTTGTACAAAATCGTATCAGCACCTGTATCTTCATCTAGCATCATCTAGCGATTACAATTCGGTAAAAAACATTTAGTAAATGAACTGTATAACTCATTTCCCCGGAGGCAATTCTGAATGTTATCTGTAGTCTGATGTGGAAAGCTTCGCGAAGAGAATCCACAGTGTGTATACTAGAACATTCACGATGTAGGACTTAAACACGTCTCTTTTCTGTCTTCACATGGGTTATAATTTTGATACTTTAAGTATTCTCCATAATGTTCTCGGCAGAATAGTATAGTTCCAGAAGGGTTTCTAATAAGTTCATTCTTTGAATTGTTTATAATAGAGCTTTCCAGGTATCTTAATATTGAACTTAATATATTGCCTCCAAAGCCTCAGGATGGTCGGGAGTGGGTGCCTTGCGCTGCGGGTTGGCCACCACTCCGCACACCTCTTGAAATGCTCCCATATGACCGGGCGTCTTACATAGCCTCTCCTGAGGAAGTCCTACTCTCTGCCTTCACGTGGCGGAGGTGTTTTTCACCAAAGTGAGAGGGCGAAAGCGGATGCCCGGCGCTCTTCACCGGGTTGACTGTCCATTGGATGACAGTCTAGGGGAGATGGCTAAACCCTGACTCCAAACCTCCAACGACTGGCGTATGAAGCTCACTGGAGCTCACCGGCAGACGTATGGACAAAGGGCTTGTTGGATGTCCTGGATGTCTGGCCCCATTCAAAAAGGCGTATGAACTGAACTCCGGTCAGCGGCTGCTAATGGATAGTGGACTCCCTACTCCACTCCTACTGCTTTGTAGGTCACACTTGATTGTGTAAAGGCTAGAGCTGCACTCTCAAACAAAAGGCCGAGCGATTCTGGGGACATCACTCGTACCAAATTCCCATGAAACTTCATGAACTCTCTTCATCAGATCGCCGCGCCTGGGCAGCGATGATTCGATATGTTCATGAAGCCGGCTCATCCTCCCGTAGGAGATAGCCGAAGTAAAGTAAACTTAATATATTCTCAGATTTTGTGTATTTCTCATGAGTTATTAGTGCCTTAAAAAAAATCGGTCTGTATCAGAGTTTTAATAGTTTTAGTTACGTGAAATCTTATCTTTGGTTGTTCTTTGTTACCTTTTCTAGATTACTAGATGCAATAATATATTGTGTGGATGGAGTTGTATGCTACAAATACCGGTTGCATTCACAAGAAACCATGAAAATGGCGAATGAAGCTGCTTGTAACTTAAAAGAACGTATCGCTAAAATCCTTTAGATTCCCCCGAGTTCCATGCAAAGCCCGTTCATCTTTTCTGGAGGATAGCATAAGCTCTTAGGTATATGATGAAACGGTACTTGTGTAAGAAGCATGAAGCCTTGTGGTCAGAATGTGCGTGTGAGATAGAATTAGCAGTTGTATCTGACAGTAATTGCAAGCTATTCCAGCTTATCCGAGCCACCGGCAGCAAAAAGCATGGCACGCCAACGAATTACCTAAAAGGACGCCTGAAATGCTTGGCATAGGGCTTTGAGAAACAGTTTGGCTGGTCCCTCAGTGCTCATGCCTAATATTTCCAATCATGGCTCTTCATGGTTGGTTAATGCCTATTCATCTTTCATAGCTCAGGTCCGAAAGGAGCTCCAAGTACTAAACTTCCATAAGGTACCCGCTCAGATCACTTTCCCTCCGACTCTTTATAGAGATTTTAGTAAGGGAATTGGCTGGATTTTTTTGGAAAATTATGGGAGAATGGTAGTATTCTATCAACATAGAATGAAGCTATTACAACGCCTATCTTTGTAATAGGCCTACGTGATGCATATGGCAATCATGAGGGTATCACTTTGTCGGAGTTACGATTAAAATATTGACTGCTGTCTTGTCCCTCAGACTTAGTGAAACGAATAAGAAATTGGTTCGCGAAAAGCAGGTGGTTTTCTTTTTGGTCGTGGATGTGTTGATCATGTGTTCACTCTTCGTTATGTGGTAGATCATCATTACACGTATTGCAGACCCAACGGTGATTGTATTTCTTGACATTAGAGCCGCCTTCGATTTGTTGGACAACTGTTGCTTGAAATTTTTTGTTATAGAGAGGTGTTCCTCTCATTCAAAGATACCTCAGGTAGAGTAAGAGCATTCACCGGCTATGACCAAAGTTCTCAACCAACATTAAGTTAGACACGGTCGCCTAATCTCACCGCTTTTCTTCATCTTTGCCATCGGTGACATTCTAAAGATAGCCTTGAAGAATGTTGATAGTGGTGGTGTATATCTGTTGTCCATAAGAAGACTTTTTGACCTCCGGAGTGGAACTAATATAATGTAGTCTAGACTGTACAAGCGGCACTTAATCAATTGTCGATCAGTGTCTTTGAGTATGGAAGTGTAGAACTTGAGCACTGGTAAAATGTGATTCGATATTCGATAACTTTATTTCAAATATCACACAGTATGACACAGTGATGCAATATTGATAACTGGATCCAGTTAATAACACTGTATCACTGTAATATTTGAAATAAACTTATCTAATAAGTGCAATGTATTGTTACAAGGTTGACAGGAGCCTGTACCTGCACTCATCCTCGCAAGTAAACCTCTAGTACTAGTCGGCAAGTTTGTGTATCTAGGTAGCTGTGTGAATGTTTGTGGTGGTGTGACGGATGCCACCTCTAACTGTATAGTAAAAGCCACTACTGCATACGCCAAGCTAATTCACCTCGGGTGCTGTCTCGACTTAAACATTTCTGCCAGAGTTTGGGTGTGCAATGCCTCGGTGCGCACGGTCTTGGTCTATTCCTGGAATATCTGGTCTTTCGTGGTCAGATATGTGGGGCTACCCTGCGTGTATAACTATCGTTGCTCCGTAGAATTGCTTTCATCCAGTGGCATCATATGAGAAATTCTGAGGCGCTGAAGCCTGTTTGGATATAGTGGGAATCGTTTTCTAATAGGTTTCAATTTCTCGGACATGTATTACAAAGACATCCTAAGTGCGCTCTTATACGGTTCACTGTTTATAAGCTCCGGGACCGGGTGGAAAAGCGATGTGTGTGTATGTGTGTGGAGCGGGGTTGATTAGCCTATGGTATGGTGTTTTGGTGCATCACTACTCCCTTGGAGGTGTCCGAGAGCAAATCCAAATCAGTGACTCGATATACTATCACACATATCTCAAAGTCTAAATTAGTGGTAAGTACTCTACAATTTCCTCTTTGGTTTGTTTTCGAAAGTAATACGAATTTATGAACCCTACTTATAATGCCCTCGCTAAGTATGTTTGCCTGTTTTCACGATGCTCTTCCTCAGTTGTTCTTTTTCTTTTCCGTATTTGTGTTTTTTATTGCTTTTGTGGGGGGCATTTCTGTGCCAAGTTTTTTATTTAAATAATAATAATTATTATTTTTACAGGCATTGGACTTGATGTTTCGTCTTTGTTTCTTTCTCTTGAAGGTGTTATTACCTTGCACTTGCTTATAACTGTAGTAAAAAATACACTGAATGTTCCGCCCTTCTTATGAGGGCAAAGCATCACGCTGAAAAGGCAATCACTTCACTTGATACTTCAACTTCAACATGGACTAAATCAGAAGAGGCAGTTGCACCTGGTCCTGATCCTGATTGTCTGGCGAAATCCCTTCATTCCCTTATACTACAAGCTGAATCAGAAGATTTTGCTTGCAAGGCAGCCTCAATGCTCGATACGGGAGAAGAGGCTGAGACAGTTTGCGTCACTTCTCTTACACCTACTGCAGGAGCAGATGTTTCACAAAAGGTGAGTATTTCCAAGTATAGTACTTGTTTAAATACACTGCGTCTTGGTTGATTTGACCTGAAAAGATGCTTTAACTAACCCAGATTATCTTCTCAATTATATATAAAAATGAGTGTAATTGTGTTTTCTCTATCGCTATCCTGAGCTAAGTTGAAGCATTTTAACCAATTAAATTACGTCATCTAACTTACTAACCCAATCTTACTTTAGTTGCTATCTAATTAACCTTGTTTCTATATTAGATCATTCTTGTATTACCTGATTAATAATCTAAACTTCACGTACCTCATGTACACACATACACAAAAATAATTATATATAAATGCGATTGTACAGCTATGTGAATGAATTCGCCGAAAAGAGTCTCTTCGCTGAACGTCTTCTCTTCCCCATACTTGTGTTTCATTATCAGAATTTCAGCACAACTTGAAGGGTCTCATCATATTGTGTTTTCTCAGCGCATGGAGAATTTCATCATGAGCTGACATCAGTTAGTTTGGGACTCTTTATCAGTACGCACCCACCGGAGTTCGAACCCTGGTACTTTTGGTTACAAGGCGAGCTCGTAGACCATTGAGTCATTGGGACCCGATCCAATGGTCCTTGAATTCTAACTTCTGACAATTCACGACATAGCGCGACCATTTCGCAATGTCTTCTTCGATGAGTTACTGCCTCATCTACAACCTGCTGTACCCCACTGGTCACGACTTCCCATTAGAACCCCAGGTTAACTGCCTGAGTAGAGCCAGTCACAAGTGAGCATCAAATTAATTTTCAAGTATTGGTTTTTGTAGGGATTTTGTTTAATTGATGAGTTGGAAGATTTCATCATGAGCTGACATCAGTTAGAGGACCACTGGAAAACCTGGGAGTACTGGGCAGCTGTTTCGCCCTAGTTTGGGACTCTTCATCAGTACGCACCCACAGCCAGGCCTCGAACACTCGACCTTCTGGTTACAATGGTCCAGGAGCTCGCCTTGTGACCAGAAGGTCCTGGGTTCGAACCCCGGTGGGTGCATACTGTGAAGAGTCCCGAACTAGGACGAAACAGCTGCCTAGTACTCCCGGGTTTTCCAGTAGTTCTCTAACTGATGTCAGCTCATGATAAAATCCTCCATGCAATCAAACAAAATCCCTACAAAACCAATACTTGATTATTAATTGTCATCAGTTCCTTCTCTAGTCGCATTTAGAGTATGCTTTGATTGGGCAATACTACTTACCTCACATTGGCATCAGATGAGCTTCGTTCAGCAAAACTGAAGCTTTTCTGCGATACATTAGTACAACTCATTCACTTTTACTAGCAGTAAAAAAATCATTTTATTTGCTTTATATGTCAAACTGCTTATATAGTTGCTCTCAAGATTATTACCATCAACTGATAATGATAATTTCTATTTCGTATAAACGGGTGAGTTTACAAGAAATTACACTGTAGGTGTAACTTATTCAACTTTCAAAGTGAAGCATTTTGTTTAATAAACCAACCTTAGGGCATTTGTAAGCCTTCCCTCAATGTATCGTATAACTATAACATGCAGCAATTGCATCTTTTCCTCTTCATAAATAGATTTATTCAACAATTACCATTTCACAAATTAAGTTGTCAAAGTGTGGGAGGTGATTTTAATACTTTTTTTCCTGACACTGACAACTTGAGTATTATTATTCTGTCAAATTTGACTTACCTTAGAGTAGTTTTGTCAAGTGGTCTTAGTGTGTGAGATTTACTGGTATTTTTTAATTCTTATTTTTTGAAGTTCCCTGTGGAACATGGGGCTTCAAACTGGAGGCTTGAAGTTGTGGTAGCAGTGGTGTTCATTTTTAGGAGATGGGGTTGCTAGCATCGTGCCTAACCTTCCCTCTTTACCAGTTTAAGTAATGGCTTAACAAGGTAAAGGAGTGCGTCGGTGTCCGAGGATCGAAACCTGAACCACATGCGTGGTTGGAGAGCATTCTACCTCTGTGTCACTGATACCTTTTTACTGGTATGCCAAATATTAATTATTTTAAAATAGTTAGTAGCTATTATATTTATTCAAAGTTGATTTTATAGCTTTATTTTCTTCTCATTATACTTTTATAATTTTTAATCAGGTTCTGATTGATCGTTTGGATGCTTACGCAGATGACAAAACTGTGGAGAAATCGTTCAGTAATTTTGTATATCCCTTTGTTCAATTGCCTCCTAAATTCTGTCCTGTTCCTGTGAAGCCAATCTTCTTCGATCTAGCTTTAAATCATATTAATTTCCCATCTTTAGATGATAAAATAGGCTTGAAGGCTAATGCATCTTCCAAGTCTTCTGGTTTGACAGGTCTCATGCGTGGATGGTTATGGCGTGGTTCAGAGCCGACAGGAGCATAAGTGTCCAGTATTGTGATATAACTTCAATAGTACATGTGATCAGTCTACCTTTTTTCTTTATAGAAATATTGGTAATAAACTTTGATTTATGTATCTCAAGGCTTCAAGGATTTATCTTTTTGACCACTGTTCATTCATCAGGTGATCATGAAAATCGTGTTCTAATATAATGACTATTAGGAGCAGAACTGTCTTCTTTATATATTTTACCTATTCATAAGGGGAGGGGGGAGGGTATTTTGATGCACAGCCAATTTTCGGAGGGGAAGAAATACAACCTAAGATGTATGGCTCTAGTGGTGTTGTGAATCTCCTAATAATTTATTTAGAACAAGAACAAATAGAAGAAGCAACTGTTCCCGATAAAGTGATCTCCAGACTTTACAATTATAAATCTACTAATGTTAGTATGCCATAGCCAGTAGAAGAATACTAAAATTATATCAGAAACCGTATCGCAGTACTAGATGCGATAATAGTCAGTTTTGATTGTCGTTCAAAAAAGTAGTCAGTACAAACATGAGTTTAAGTAATTGGCTGATGTATTCGTGAATTTATAATAAACAAAAGTAGACATTTCAGGGAGTCATCCCTTGAATCTGCATTCAGTGTAACCCATTTTTTGTTTATTTCTTTGTATTATTCATATATTACCACCTACAACGAGAAACCGTATTGATCTCAGTTGTGTATGGTATTTGCGCAACATCCAATGAACAGTGTAACGACATGTAATTGTTGTAGGAAACAGTTTTCTTCTTTCTCTACGCCTTTAAGTGATATGCTGATTTGTACATCATTCACTGTGAAATTGAATCGGCATCACGTGTATGATTATAATATTGTCCGCATGTTTTGTTTATTATTCTTAGATGTTTTGATTAATGGTTGACCAAGTGGCTCTGTAAAACTATATTTACAGAAAGTTAACATGGGCTAGGTAGTATCCCAGTTAGCATAGTTTTGTCCAGTACAGAAGAGTCCTGACGAGGAGCCTATCCATAACAGGTTTGAATGAATATGTCTGATACGCTTTTAGGGTCGGTCGGTCGGTTTTCGACATAGAACTTTGCACATATGTGCGGCAGTTCGAGTCGCCACACTCCATGTAGCACACAAAGCAAGAGAAGAAAGTAGGAGAGATGCATAATATAGACAGTAAACAGAGATGTGAGACAAAGGAATAGTTATAACAAAGAACAAAACAGTTTCATTGGAAATGATAAGTCACAAGGAGTGGATGCATCTGCGCCATTGAGAAGGATTTTGAGCCATGCCACCAATTGTTTCCAACCATTGGTTTTTACCGTCCCGAGGACCCCAACCAGTCTGGAAGTCTACACCTTCCTACGTGGCTTAGACTGACTGTTGTGGATTTCATTGACTGGTGCCATGTTTTCGTTTGACCGCCGCTAGCTTTTAGGAAAGCTAAAAGAATAACAGACTGAAAACCACCTACTGTCCATTCTGCCTCCAAAAAAGAACATATTTATCAAGCTGCCCTACATAGTGATCACATATTTTATTTATCAGTTTGTGGAAGCTTTAGGTATTACGAATGTAAATTCACCTCTCTTTGTTTACAAACAACGTAGGTTATCATCATATTGGCTAGATATTCAAAGAAAGAATTAACTCGGCAGACAAAAAGTTATATTATGCAGCCCTGATACGAATCACTGCCAACTCGGAGGCCATATATCTTAATAAGCCTTTAGAATAGGTGAAAAATGATGTCACATTCAACTCTGCAATTAAGGGCTAAAGAACATTTCCCTAAATGGTTTCAGAGGCAGATTTAGTTCACAGAATCTACTAATAGTGGAAAAGACGTCCAAGCTTCTGAAACGTGGAAAATTTTATTAAAATTATAAAAAATAGGTATTTATGCGTTATTCAAGCTCATCTATAAGACCTGTTGTGGTAGTATCCTAAAGTTCGCGACAGCCTTAGTCATTAGGAAGTTTAATCCACCTCTATTTACTTACAGTACCGTCAACATACAAAGTCTTCCTGGATAAATTTTGATGTCCTCACTTCCCTCCTTTTCTGTGTGTTGATCTCCATTCTTAATTTTGGACAAGCCTAGTACACTGTTCAGCTAAATTGAATCTCCTTACTGTTTTGTCGAGATTAACAGCTACAGGCAATTAAACGCCTGAGATTAGAGTGGTTACCTTTAGTACATGTAAAGGCATTTTTGGTTGTCATTACTTCAATGTCTCTCTCATGGAGTGCTTTGTGTTGCACAAAATACTTCCGTGTAATTACATTTACAGTCCGCGCCTCTTGTTTGATTTCCAACTTGACACCAAGAAGTATGCCAAATGACAAAGCATAGTATGAATTGTAGAACCCTGTGGAGAGTAGTGATTTGATCAGTGTAATTTACTACATTTTTGGAACTTTCTGAGTTCTTTTTTCTGCATCGTTGTCTGTCCTTGTATAGCTACGGACCTTATGGATCACTAGTTTATTCACTGTGATTGTCACAACAGGACTTGTCTTCATTCTTGTAAACTGCTATGGTCAAAACTTTTCACCAACCTTATAGGACCAGTAATTCCTATAATCTGATGGACTATTTATCGACACCATCCTTAAGCGAAGGTGGAAAAGAGGCTGCTATGAAGCCTTTACGCCACCAAATTGATGAAGACACAGTCTTTATTTAAGGACGAAATAACTATACGCCTATCTGAGATTTACATCACGTCTAACCGTGAGCAAGCCTGGCATAATTTCCAGTCGGCTGTGGAAATTGCTGAAGGCTGTTATTAAACTGAAACGAAAGGCTAGTAAATGCCAACGAGTTTCTGCTGCTTCGTGCGAATTGATAAAATCAAGAAGACTTATTCCCTTTGTCTCCGAAAATGACGTGGAGTAAACATGAGTCTCCTCAACGACCGTGAACATTGGTGAGTGACAAAAGCCATAAAGATAGAAAACGCATCAGGGGTGGATAACAGCAGACAACTATTCAGGCTGATTAGAAGGACACGTTAAAAAATATTGAGCGAAACAATCTCCGAGAGAAGCGGCGCCTTGATTACCTTTTGTGATAGAAGACTGGGACGTTGTGGGGAACACTGAGAAGCAATTTAACTGATTGGGTAGTAACTAGTGTCATGCATCTAGTCCTTCGTTTGCTGCAGACTGAATTTCATCAGTCAAGTTTTCTAGGTGGCTCACCATTACGGTGACCTCAGAATTGTTGTTATTAAATGGTTGCAGGCAATCGACAGAAAGCCTTCGACCAAATTTCCGTGCTTGTTGGCACTCAACAATCAGCAAGGCGTATCAGAAATCTTGGAAGAACTCGTATAACGTCTGAGATCTAAACCCATGTCATTTAGTGCTGCAGTGAGGAACGTAATCACGGGTTTTCATCTCAGAGGGACATGAGATTGCAGATACGCCTTACTGACTGGTAAATGCCAACAAGGAAGAAACCGAGGTCGAAGGTTTCCTGCCGATTGCCTCAAGCCATATAATAACAATCAATTTAACTGGTCCAATTCCCTCAGCCTCCAATATCTAACTGAGTAGGGTGCTGACATCGGTCCTCCAAATGTAAATGAGGTTGGAAAAGCTTTCTCGAGAGAACCACTACTGCTGGTGGGATGGCTCCAGAAGTGTTTAAATACGGTGGTGGTGAACCGTTGTCGGGGTTAACTAATACGTCTGTAAACCAGAGATAGTCCGTTAGACTTAAGTAGATCATTTTTTTAAAATATTCCTTCACGTTCCCCACTGGAACATACGGCTTCAAGCTAGTGGCTTGAAGTTTCTGTAGCAGTGTTTATTTTACGGGATCGGGTTGCTAGCCTCATGCCCAACCTTTCCTCTTCACCAGCATTATTTCTGGGTGAGCGAGGTAAAGGGGTGCGTCGGCCGGGGATCCAACCCCGGGCCATGTGCATGGTCGGCGAGCGTCCTAACCGCTATGACACCGACGCATTAATGATACTCATTTAAAAGAAGGGAGTTACATCCTGTGATGATCATACGTGGATTATCTTAACTTAGTATCTGAACTTCTAGGTTCACTAATCACGCGTGAACTGAGCGTTACTTGGGAGAAATATATTTTCTAGTAGCAGGTAGACTTTGAATCAGGAAGAGGGTGTACTGATCATATCTTAACCCTGAGGTAGGTTCTGGAATATACGCATACTAACCGGCGTTGAATACTTGTTATGTCTCTTGATGTGAAGATGGAATTTGACTTTGTTGACAGAGATACTGTGTCAATGTGTGGCCGTGAAGGTACCGTGGAGAAGGTATATCGCAATTATCAAGGCATTCTGCTCGAACTTAAGTAGAGTTGCCATCCGAAATGGTGACAATTAGCCGTGTCCGACATGGATGTCTGCTAGTCCGAGTTTCGTTTGAGTTCATCATGTGCTATTGGATGTAACGCTAGTCGAATTTGGCCACTTAGGGATAGACCTGTTGTGAGGGAGCAGTGTCGTCGACTTAGGCTATGGAGATGATGTGGTTCTTCTGGGTGGAAACGTTGACAAAGTACAGTCTTCCAAACACCATGAACAGAAGACTTTGTTCGAAATGCGACTCGCCCCTGTCAAATGTAAGATGATGCTGCGGGACTGGACCTTATCGACTCCTAGCCTGAAGATTGGGAGTGAATTGGTTGAGCTTGCTGACTACTTTAAATATTTATGAACTTGTATTAGCCCTAATGCACTGATTGCTGATGAAATCTCAACGCGAACACAAAAGGTTTGTGTGGTATTTGCCAACTTACTTCATCTCCAGAATAGATATGATATCCGACTGTCTGTCATAGAAGGTGTGTACTGTTCAGCATCTTGCTATTTTCTCCCATATAACTGTGAATAATGGCCATTGAAAGTGGAATACCCTAAGAGACGAGTTGTCTTTGGCCACAGGCGTTTACATCCTATCTCCCGTGTTAAGTGGCATTATATGGTGAGTATTGTTGACGTTGGGTAACATAAATCCGTCGACAAAGTTGC